ACTTAAAAACCAGAGCACTCACTGCTGCAGAGAAAGAGTTATCACAGGGGAGGTTAATTTATGATGTTCAAATTGCACTGCTGATGCAAACAGGCAGCAAATTCTATGCTAATATGTTAATGAACAGCCTGAAGACCGTGCCAGTGATGTTCAAATCAAGATTCTACATGATTCAGTTCATGAAAACATTTAGCCAGGAGCTGCTTCCTACAAGTTAATACCACCGATCAAATTCTGGAAGCATATAATTAGCCGCTTCCTCAGGCACAACCCCTGCCTTCATCAGTTTTCTCAAGAGTTTGTCTCCACGAGGCTCATTCCAAACCTTGGAAGCTATCCATGTACCTGCTACGGTTTCCTCTAAAGCTTCATACGAACCTGCAAACCCCTGAGTTTATTTAAATACAACTGATGAGTAAAGCTGCTGGGGGCGTGGCTTAAAGAACATCTGCAAAAGAGCAGCTACTGTGATGACTGCACTGATGACATCACAGAGAGCAGGAGATCAAACTCTCCCTTTCGGCAAAAGTGCAACACAACACAAAGCCTTCCTCTAACACACACGGAGGACGTATTAAGGGTTCTAAGATATCAGAGGAAATAAAAGCCTCATCCATCATTAAGTTCCCCCTCTTAACCCCCTCGGGGGGAAGCAGTGGGCCTCGATCATTCCTGCACATTCATCTGTGTGTCCGTCCTCTAAAAGTTCCCCCAGGAAACTGCTCTCCCGTCCTTGGGTGGCTCACGCAAACATGCCCTGTCAGCAGCTCTCACTGTCCATCTGCTAGAGGCCTGAACCCCAACTGCAATGTGCCCAACGAGAGCAGAAAGTGTGTGGAAGAAAAAGACTTGGAATGTGTGTGTGTGTGTGTGTTTGCCAAGCTGAATTATGCCCCATGGTTTCTGTACAACTGAGGTCAGACTCGGATATAATGTTACAGACAATTTTCATGGCTAGTATCTATAGCGATCACACCATGAACTTGTGACATTACCGATCAGTTATTTACAGTCATGCATGACATTCATGAACTGTTTAGTGGGGGTCACAAATCGCCCTTCACTGAGGTTCTCATAGAGTTTCAGCGGGTCGTACCACCCATTACTGAAGCACACACTTCTATGCATTTAGTACATATCCTTTCAAATCTTGTATGGCAGCTGCTTGCGCTTTAGGAAAAGCACACAGGCCAGCTCCAGTTCAGCGAAATGGTTACATGAGCAACGTCACTTTTCATTGAGGGAACTGTAGAGAGCGTGTCTTGAGGGAAAATTAAAAGTTTGAGCATAAGACAAAGAGTTAGTGACATCACAAATAGGAAGAGAAGTGATGCAGCCAAGAGGTCAGAGTTTGGCTGGTTAGAATGACCCTGTTTGTTCCTGGTAGATGGTGGAACTAAACCATCTGGACACAAAAAGTAGCTATTGTCCGCTGTAGGAATGAGTGCTAAAAACTAGAAACAAGTTACCATTTTTGAACTTTAATGAATTTAGAATTATAAAAATTGCTAGCTCTTTGACAAACTTGCTTTTGTAAGTCGCTTCGGATAACATTGCCAGCTAAATGCATAAATGTGATTGAGTTTTTTCAATGGTTGCTGAAGTCACGCCCACCTAGCTCGACGGCAGTGTCAGCAGCGGCAATCCACCTGTCACTCAAGTAGCCACGCCCTTAATTATGCAGAACTTTAAGGCTTAATATAATTTAAACGGATGAGTTATAAAAAAAATTCACCCCCCCTCACAGTTGTCATGAAGGGCATAATTAGCTATATAGACCAAAATAATTTTTTGAACCAGGCTGTAAACATGTTTTTTTTCTGCTGTAAAGTTGGGCATTTTAACATGGGGAGTCTATGGGATTGACTCCCTTTTGCAGCCAGCCTCTAGCGGCCAGTTGACGAATTACAGTTTAAGTCACTTCCGTGTTGGCTTCACAAGAGAGAGCAGGAGGTTGCCGCTTGGGTGTAACATTGGTTTTGCTTTGTTTCACAGAGCTAATCGTTGCCTGGGTTGCGTACGTATGTGTGGGGCGGAGCTATCAAAATAGGGGCGATACCCTTTTGGGGTAGGGACATGTTTGTTTTGGTGATTTCAAATGTCAACATTGGCTACCAGTAATCGCTTACCCCACCTTTAAATGCCTGAAGATTGTAAATGGTCAAGATTTTTTCAAGAAAGGTCAAGTTACTAAATGGGACTATAGTGCTTAGATATTCAATTCACTAGTCTGCTTTTACAGTCTCATTGTTTTTTTATTCTTGCCCTTGCAAAAATAAATATTGAGAGTTGTCAGAGGCTTTGTGGCGGTGATCATCATTAACTGTGGTGTAGGTCAACTGTATTTAGGATTCAAATTTCATAAAAGTTGTGTTTAAAACAAGAATCAAAATGGTTGTTGGTCACAGAGCTTATTTTCTGCAATAATCTAAAAGCTAATGGAAAAATCCTATTAGATTTTTGTATGATGCAAGCTTCCAGGTTGGCCTGCAAAATTATATAGAATTCAGACAGCCATTAAAACATTAGAAATGTCTTCTGATGAACTCTTGACTGACTGAAATACAGAAGTCTACCCAAAAATGACTCTCTATTAAAATGAACCAAGCATACAATCACACTCAAAAGTAATTTCTTCAATACTACATCACACAGCAAGAACATCACTTTCACAATAACTAACTTATTTGTCACTTTCCACTCTAACTCTTTTTCCTCTTTAATGAAGGGATTTTTCATAAACAGGCCTCTTAGTAACCTGTCATTTAGCCCTTTAGTGGATAATACATCCCAACACAGTACCAGTGAGACACAGAGAGAAGTATTTTCCAAAACAGAAAAATACAGACATACCTGTCAGACAAGGAAGAGATGTATCAAGCTGTCAGTGAGTGATGCCTTTCTCTCCCCAGCACAGTCTCTCAGCCTGAAATACAAGTAGTGCTCCCAAAGTTCTCTGAAGGTGACTTTAAATTTTAATGGATACACTCTACACTCTAAAAGCGGAGTGTATCCATTTAAGAACATATCAAGGAAATATATGACAGGAAGGACAAAGTGGTTAACCCTCTGGTGCTCTTCAGTAACTTTTGACAGAAAAATTTTCTGTTTTAAATTTTTTTAAATCACAGGTTCATCAGAATAGTATGAAACTTGGTGACTTTCATGGCATGTGGAATGTGAACACACTAAAAAAATTGAGGCCATGATTCGAGCAGGCTAAGTGGTCGTAAAAAAAAAATTTTGAGAATTTTTGTGTGTACAATCTACAAATCTGCCACAATGCAAAAAAAAAAAAAAAGTGCACAGCAAAGACGGGGTGAAACTCTAAAACATCAAGAGTGTAAAACCAACACATCCCCTCACACACACACACAAGCGTACACACACACTTATAGACACACACCTATGAACTGGTGTGACTGTAACACAGCAAATATGTAAAATAAAAGCAATAATTCAACTACAATGCAGTAAAAAAGTTACACTTTAAAACATCAAGAGTGCAAAACAGACACATCCACTCACACACACACACACACACAATTATAAACACTCAAATGAATTGGTATGGCTATAACCATATAGCCAAAACTGAATTCAGATCAGACCCAGAAGAATTAATCTCTGATAAAACATTCCTGTTTATTTTTGTTACATTTGTATAGAATTTTAATGTTTTGTGTAACAAAATGCTTTCTCTGTGTTCAGGTTTGACTGTAGTAATAATAATTCAAAAACTGACGCTTCAAATCAACATTTAAAAAAAAAAATCTAAACCTTTACAAAATGTTGTCTTTGAGAAATATATATCTAAACCCACAACTTAATAAAAATGAGTATTTATGTCTAAAAACAATTAGAGAATTTATAGGCCTTTTATATAGAGCTATATAGGAATCTATGAGCTAAACCATGGAATTGCAGAAGTTTTTCTTATTTTACTCCCAGCAGATGGCACTAATCAGGCTTAAAAAAAATTATTTTAAAGGCATTGACTCTATTGTAACATGAAATACTGCATTCATTGAAAAGTAATATAAAAATATATTTAAAAAATAATTATTGCATAAATATTAATTAGGACCATGAAATTATCTCAAAATATTACAGAACAAAAATGTGTTACATTGATTTTACTGGGGGGGGGGGATTGTAGGTGTCTGGTCCATGAAGATCACAAGTGTGACTCCCAAATGAGGAGCACCAGAGGGTTTAAACACACACACACACACCTTTTATTTACAGGTTGTGCAGAAAAAGCTATTAAAGTCAACATGAAACATGTTCACAACCCATTTACTGTCATAATCTGACATATTTTAGCATGAAACGGAATACACACGAGAGAAAGAAGTGTGGAAGTGAGGATTTTATCCTTCGAGAATGAATGGGATAATGAAAAATAATGTTTTTCCTTCTAAATGTAAGATCTAGTCAGTCCCATGAAAACACAAGGCTTGAAAAGTTGCTTGCTGAGTTCTGTCTTACATCTCTTTACATTTACACTAATGTTCAAAATTTTGAGGCTAGTTTGATTTTTTTTTTTATTTTAAGAAATTAACTTTTTTTATTAATAAAGTATGTACTAAATTGGTCAAAAGTCACAATAACAACACTTACCATTTTGAAAACATTAAATCAGCACAACTGTTTTCAACACTAACAAAAAGAAATGTGCCTTGAGCACCATAAACTAAGCATTTTAGAAAGGTTTATGAAGGATCATGTGACACTGAAGTAATGGCTGCTGAAAATTCAGCTTCGCCATCATCAGGAACTACATTTTAAAATGTATTAAAATTGACTTTTTTTTATCAAATGAGTGCAGCTTTGTTAAGCATAAGAGACTTTAACATTAAAAAATCTTACCGACCCTAAATGTTTGAACTGCAGTGAATGTGTTGTGTGCTGCTAGCACAAGATCACACACTGCAAGGGGTCCACACTGGAGATGCTGAGTATCACTACAGTCCTTGTAGTAAATGAACTGAGTTGCTCTGGAAAAAAGGGCCTGCTAAATAACAAAGCACTTTTTGCTATAAAATGGCAGGAGGTTTCAGTGACTCACACTGGATTATTTTTATTGACCAATGGCAGCTTCTCATTTCCGTTGTATTCATCTGCTCTCAAGGATATGGGATAGTTGCCACTAAATCTGAAACACAAACCAATACTAACTGATGTAAAGGCACTGACAGAATTTTGCAAACCATCTGAGATTAACTAAAAGATCTACAGGTCTAATTTGACAAAAATCTCTTTTATTAAATTATAAAACAGACATCAAACCCCATGAGAGGGGTTGGACAGACAGCGAGTGTGTGAGAAAGAATTGATTGGTGTGTTCCGCACTATTCTTTATGTGTGTCAGCACAAGAGGGTGTTTGTGTCACGGTGAAGGCCTGACCCTCCTCATCATCTTCTTCCTCTGAGCTGCCCATCACTGCGGCACTAAGAGCCTGCAGTGCCCCCAGCAGACCTGAAAGAAAAGCAGGATGAGGAACCAAGTCAAGTGCAAAAGAACATTGAGTAGACATTAAAAAATGAATCAATGTATGAATGAACAAATTATATAATCAAAGCTATTGATATGAATCCATATCACGGGCAAAAGCAGCATCAAGCTAATTGTTGATATCATAATTGAGTGTCAGAGTATGCTTACTTTTAGGTGTTGGAGGATTGCTGCTCTCGGACTGAGGATGATGCTTTTGTTTCAGGGCCTCAGTTGTCTGAATTGCTGATCTTCTCAGTCTTTTATATTCATTCATCAAACCCTGTTCCTGAACCACTGCCTGCACACACACAGAACAATAGAAAATAAAGAAACCGATCTAAAAGCCACACAGATCTCTGAGCCAAACACATTTTAAATAGAACTTGCAAAAAATGATTTGCATCTTTGATACGTTAAGCCATGTTTATCTACAATGCAGTTGCAGAAACCACCCATTCACATATTTTAAACTGCTTTAAACTGAAATTCATAAACTCACACCTCATGTCACTCACATACGATTTATTTCCCCAACAAAATGAGATCTGAAATTAGCTGGAAATATACCGATTATAAAATTATAGCATCAAGTTTGATTATACAACTTATTGTGTTCCGAAGACGAACGAAGCTTATACGGGTTTGGAACAACATGGGGGTAAGTGATTAATGACAAAATTTTCATTTTGGGGTGGAGTAAAAAAGCAGCTGTACTCCACAACTAGGGATGCACCGAATATTCGGCAACCGAAATTATTCGGATGAAAATAGCAAAAAAATATCTTTCGTGTTCGGCCAAATAAGCGAAAAGGCCGAATAATATGAACCGAACAATGCAGAACGCTATCAAATAGAGGCACGCGCTAATGCAGCAAACATGTTGACAGTGTGAAAGTATTTAAAGGGGTGGTTGACTGTTTTTTTTCTAGGCTTGATTGTGTTTATGGGGTGCAGTCTAACATGTGTTAATGCTTCGTTTGTTAAAAAACGCATTATTTTTCACATAACTTATCTTTATTCCACACTGCTCTGCCCCTTCTCCTCTGAACGCGCTGATCATTTCCTGCTTTTATGAAGCCCCTCCCTCAGAAATACACGATGGGCTCTGATTGATTAGCTGGCCCAGTGTGTTGTGATTGGCTAAACCGCCTCTAGCGCGTGTCTAAACGTTGTATTGTAAACAATGACTTCGTCTATATTGCTTATCAGTTTGAGCCCGATTGAGACGCAGAGGATATTATTAAAGAGGATCGTGCAGAACCTGTGCAAGCACGGCTTTTAATGGTAGACCTATGATTTTTGTTTGTTGTTGTCTCTTACTTTTAGATACGCTGTTATTTGTAAATGCTACGGCTTATGTTAGCTTTTAATATACGGTTTTATCCTGATTAAAGCTTTAAGACAGTACGGCAACTGCACGCGCGTCCATGTTTAACGCTTCTCATAGCTATAGTATGTGAAAATAAGTGTATTCACTGAGCTGATGATCTGAATGAGAGAGAAAGAGAGATGCAGAGCATCTATATGAATAGATTTTTACGTGCACCTGTAGTTTTCTCTTCCTCTTCTCTAAAGCAGCGCAGCATGGCCCCGCCCCTTTTGCTGCGTGTTCCCGGAGGCGGGGTTAATGTAAAATTCTGGGTTCTTGACGTAGCGGACCCGGGAAGTAACTTGTTGTAGTCCCTTACCAGCCGTTTTTGTAGGCATTAAACTGCCAAAATTTTAAAAGACTATATCTCCGTTTGCATTGAACTTTCAGCTTCGTAACTTTGCAGATATTGTTTATGATCAAACAGCAACATTACACACTAACTAACATTAAAAAAAGTGAAATCGCCATCAACCACCCCTTTAAAACTATCAAAGAAAGACGCAGAAATCATTACAAGCGTGAAGCACCGACAGCGAGAGACTTAGTGCTGCATCAAGTCTCCGATGAGGAGAAGAAGAGGTGGCTAATGCTGGTGGTTAGGTTACTGCATGATGATTGAAATCGCGAAATTAATAAATAAAAATAAATAAATAATAATAAATAATGCACGCACGAATTGCATGACATCGCTGCACGAGCTCGCGGCGCCAGGGTTCAAAGTCCAAAGCGCGATGAAAATCTGCGCTGAAACTGTTACTCGTCAGTTGCTCAGTAACATTTTTGTGAATTTTTTTAAAGGCATGTGACAATGTGATATGTGCGACAAACATCTTCCCAAATTCGTAATGAGAATCATTTATAAATCTGCATGCTGTTGTCAACATAAAGAAGCACTGAGATCTTCCTGCGGGGTTCTGCCAAAATAAAAGCCGAGAAAAAGCAACAACTACATCGACATTCATAAATGATAGTATTGTAATTTTACTGTCGTTATGTAAAATTAAATAAAAAAGACAATAATAATGATAATAATAATTACCCTACAACAGCTCTGTTAATACATTTATTATAACAGCTCAGCAAGGCTGCCTTTATTTGTACAGTAAAAAAAATACATGCCTGATTCAAGTCTCAAAAATGGCTATTTATGGCTCAAAAAATATAATTTTACTAACTTTTAAATTTTAAGCTAAATTGTGCTTTGTTGGTATAATGTCTGCTAGAATGTTAAAAAAGTGTTCAGTGTTAAGTAAATATTTTTAAATTGTTGTTTTGTAATTAATTTTTTATTTGAAAAGCAGGACAAAACAGTAAAAAGCACATTTTGGCAATTTAATTAATGCAATTGTGAAAAAAAATGGCAAAATAGGCCTACATGGGGGAAAAATTTGAAAAACTGTGTTCGGTATTTGGCCCAGTGTTTCATTTTGTTTGGCTTTGGCCTAGAATTTTTATTTCGGTGCATCCCTATCCACAACCAAACCTGAGCAAATATTAGATGGAAACACAGAAGCACAAATGATTCTTCACCAGAGTCTGTGAGCAGAGTGGAAGCAGAGCTGCATGATTTTGCCTGGAGCAATGAGCAATTGATGTCAGCGGAATTCACCATGTGTTAAACACAGTATTAATAGACTATTAGCAATGAAAATAAGAGAATAAGATGGAATTTGTGAAGTGAATACACAATGCTTTGTGTGTGTGTGTGTG